ATAATTGACTAAGGTCTGATTTATGAGTGAAAGACCTCGGATTCGGGATTTGAAGGTTCCAACAGGTTCGTATGATGATTTTGGACTTGGACGTATGTCCGGATCGGGTTTTGGATGACTCGGGAGCGTTTTAGCGCCTATTGTGGAAGTTAGCATTCTGGAAGAATTTCATAAGTTTGGGTTGAAGTGCATTTCAGTATTATCGATGTCCGTTTGGGATTCTGAGTCTGGGAATAGCTCCGTATGGTGATTCTGGTATTGGGGGCGCGTCCGGAAGTGGATTCGGAGGTCCGTAGGTCATTTTGGAGTCATTTGGCTAAAGTTAGAAATTTGAAGGTTTTTGAGAAGTTTGACCGAAAGTGGACTTTTTGATATCGGGGTAGGATTTCGATTCTGGAAGTTGGAGTAGGTCCGTAATGTCAAATATGATTTGTGTGCAAAATTTGAGGTCAATCGGACGTGATTTGATAGGTTTCGGCATCGAATGTTGAAGTTTGAAGTTCTAAAGTTCATTAAGCTTGAATTGGGTTGTGATTCGTGATTTTGACGTTGTGTGATGTTATTTGAAGGCTCGACTAAGTTCGTGATGTGTTTTCGGACGTGTTAGTATAATTGGCTAAGGCCCAGAGGGCCTCGGGTGGAATCCGGATGGTAAACAAATCGAGTTGGACTTGGAAGAAAGGCTGAGGGCTGCTGTCATCTGGTGTAACTGCACCTGCGAGGTTTTGACCGCAGGTGCGGAGCCGCAGAAGCAGCCATGAGGGTCGCAAATGCGATTTTGGCTGGGAGTGCTGGGACCGCAGATGCGGTCATCTCGCCGCAGAAACGAGACCGCACCTGCGGAAGAGAAGGCGCAGAAGCGGAAATGGGCTGGAAGCCCTGGACCGCAGAATCGGTGCTTTGTCCGCACCTGCGGAACCGCAAAAGCGGTCAAGTGACCGCAGGTGCGAAGAATCGCTGGGCATTGTCTTTTAAAAGCCGGGGGCTGGGCTCATTTCATCCCCATTTCCTCTATGAGAGCCGATTTTGGAGCAACTTTGGAGTGCTATTTTCATCACCAAGCATGAGGTAAGTGGTTTCCACTAGTTTTGAGTTATATACAAGGTTTATATATGGATTTAGTCATGGAAATTTGGAGAAATTATGGAATTTGGAAGCAAAACCTAGAAATTTATATTTTTGATTTTGGCCACGAAACTGGACATGGGATTGAGAGTAATTTATATATTTGAGTTCGTGAGGTTATGGGTAAAGTTTATCTTCGAAAAATCTCGGAATCCGGGCAAGTGGGCCCGAGGGTGATTTTTATCGACTTTTCGATCGGGGTTAGAAATTATTATAAATTGGATTATAATGAGTAAATGAGCATATATTAATGAGTTTGCATAAGTATTGGCTAGTTTTGGAGCGTTGTGTATCGATTAGAGTCATCGGAAGGGCGTGGAATGCCGGTTATGGAACTTCGGAGCGAGGTAAGTCTCCTTTCTAACCTTGTAAGAGGGAATTAACCCCATAGGTGAAATAAGTAAATATGTGCTCCTATTTATGGGGGCTACGCACGCACGAGGTGACGAGAGTCCGTGCGTAGCTACTATTATGCTTAAGTCCGGGTAGTCTAGGACCCAAAAGCATGCTTTACTTGCCGTACTTGTAATTTTATTGACAATTTAAGAAGCTCAAATCATATCGAACTTGGTAAATAATTTCTAAAAGGCTAAACATCACTTTCTTGACTGTTAAAAGAGAAGTTGTCATTTCCTTGGGTAATTGTTTCCCTGATGAAGTCTTGATTGACTGTTTGAATGTGTGTATCTATGTGTACCCGCGTCGCATGTATGATTCGCGAGTGTGGTTATTCTTTTATTTATATTTGACCCCGTCGCATGTATAATTCGCGAGCGGGGTAATTCGCGTCGTACGACCTCGGCATGATTTGTGCATGCTTGTATTGCTTGCCTTAAGATTTACAAAATTGGATATTATCTCCCTGGCCTGAGATAAATTAATAAATGATGAAATATGAACTTGGAAATTTCTATTAACCAAAGAATTGATTACCTGCTTCATGCTTATTAAGTTTGCAGTCACCTTATAAAATCCACGAATTTTTACATCATTATTATTGGACCACTAGTAAGTGCCAAAGTCGACCTGTCGTCACTACTTCTTCGAGATTAGACGATATACTTACTGGGTACGCATTGCTTTCGTACTCATACTACACTTGCTGTGCATTTTTGTTGCACAGGCACACGTATGTCCATTGGCCTCGTTGGGCGCAGCAGCATGTTTGATACGGAGACTTAGGTGAGCTGCATCTCTCGAGACGACCTGCAGCCAGCAGGGTCTCCTTCAGAGTATTGTATTTTATTTTTTGTCCAATCCGTATTCCGGACAGTTATTGTATTACATTTTATTTCCTAGAAATTGCTCATGCACTTTGTGACACCGGGTTCTGGGATGACTATGGAATTATTTAGTATTTAAATTTGTTAAAGACATCATTATTTACTCGGTGAAGTCCGTCAGTTATTGTTTAATGAAAGGAAAAGAAATGATTTTAAAAATACTAAAATGAGAATTTAACTAATTATTTGATGTTGGCTTGCGTGACAGTGGTGTCCGGCGCCATCACGACCCTTAATGGATTTTGGGTCGTGACATTATTACCTTTACAATTGATGGATTTAGCTATATTGGCATCATAGTACTCTTATAATTGCAGAAACATGAATTTTCTTACTGTATTGCCTCTTTTACAAAGAAAATATACATATGAGTTTGCAACTTTGAGGCATAATAATCTGATCCGAAATTCGAAAATTCGATCCGATCCAAAATTTAAAATCCGATCCAATCCGATATTAATTCGGATCGGATTCGGATTGCATTTTTTAGAATCCGAAATCCGCAATCCGATCCGAAATGTGCTAAATCCGATCCTATCCGAAATGTGTTAAATCCGATCCGATCCGATCCATGCACAGCCCTATCACGAATTCCATAACATATTTCAAATAATTGCATTTATCCTTTTCAAGTTAAAGGGTTAACTTAGGGTTATATAGTTTTTATTAGGAAGTTGAATAGCTAAAAATTGAGCATGAAAATTTGAAGCTTTAGATGGACATAGTTTTGCACTCAATTTTTCCCTTTGAAGTATAAAGTTTGGACGTCGTTTTTCAAGATTTGAAATAAAGTCTAATACAATTATACATATAAAAATTGTGGGCTAAAGTCGCAATTCTTTGTAGGGGTATTATCACTTTTAACCCGCGCCAGAAACTATTTACATCTGGTAGCCGAAAAAGTGTATAAAATTTGTATAATTTTTGTATATAACATACAGAATGTATATATACAAAATTTATACTTTTTTTCAGCAATTATTTTAGCGGCTATACGGTGTCATTTTTTCCTTCTTTATAAATGATTCTTTTAGTTATGGAAAATGAAAAGTATTAGTACAACTAATCACTACCACTATATGTCTTAATTTTGGCTGCTAATATGTGAACTAATGCATAGAAAATTAGGTTTGCTTTCACTTATAATTTCCCGAATAAAAAAAGAAAAAGAAAGTTGACCAATAACAAAACGTAAAACCTAATATAAAATCCCAACCTTTTCTGAAGTTCTTTTAAAAAAAAAAAAATACAAACAAAGGTTGAACTGAAAAAAAATCATTTCAGCAAATAATTAAGCAGGTTAGCTTATTTATTACACCATGGAATGTAGTATAATAATGTCTAGTAGACGTACATAAATATCATGCAGGAAACAAGTCAATGCAGATGTATTTGTGAGACAGATTTAGCTAGCGTTTGGACATAGATTTGATTAAAACTTGAAACAAAAGTTTTTGAAGTTGTATTGAAAAATAATTTTTGAAAGTTGAAGTTATGTATGAACATGCATTTTATTTGAAGAAAAGTTGAAGTTGTATATGAACATGCATTTTACTTGAAGAAAAGTTGAAGTTCAGTGAGTGAAAGAAAAATTTTCACCCAAAAACTGCCGTAAACCAGTTTTTGAAAACTTGAAAATTTTTGAATTTTTTTCCTCCAAAATACGATCATATTTCATAAACAAACAATGTTTTCAATTTTTTTTTTTTTTTTTTTTGAAAAAATAAATCCAAAAATCTATGGTAAAATGGGAGCCTAATTTATACACACCGCTAGTTAATAGTACTATTTATAGATGACTTAATTGTGCAAAAAACTTGTACTATGAGAATTGAGAAGTTAAACTCTTTTAAGACTAACGAACAAAATAATTTCCGCACATATCACTAATTTTGATGACAAAACAAGATGCTAATTGCTAAAGCCTTACAGTATAATATTGTAATTTATTTATTTGTTCATTTTACATATTATTATGCTCATAAATTGGGTTAGGAATTGCCTATAAGACATCAAAGAGCCGGGCAAAATTTACAGCCTTCCAATTAATTGGAATTCGTGTTGGGTAGGCCTACTAAAACGATAAAACATTCTTTATCAAAAATTCTCCATTTCTAGGACTCGAATTTAAAACCTTTAATTAAAGGTGAAGAGACTCCAATCGTCTCTGGCACCCATATAGTTCTTCTCCCATTTCTAGGACTCGATAAAACATATAGATTATTTATATGTTTTTTAATAAAAATAAAGGACTAAAATTGTTCAGATGCATATTGAAAAGACTATTTTAAACCAACCCCCAAACATAAGGGATTAGTTTATAAAAATTTTCAAGAAAAGAACTAGTTAATTTGGTGAAATTGCGTTACGTGACTAAACAGAAAAAGAGAAAGAAAGATGAGGGCGCATTACCTTAAAATGCGTTACCTCACAAACGAAACCCTAACATAATGAGGATTGAGAACATATTAATTTGTCAAAAGCAAAAAAAATTATTTCCACGATTTTATTTATTATGCTTTCTGAAGGCTTATCTCAAATTCAAACTCTCATAGACCGCACAAATACACAACTCATGGAAAAACAACAAAATAAAAAGCAAGAAATGTTTCATGACCCTTTATTATAAGTTGAAGTCATCCTTCAACAAAGATTAACATGCAAATAAAGAAAAAAAATGAGGAACTAGAGCAATTTCCAACACTCATACAACTTAATATGGACGCGAAGTCGAAAATAAACACTTCCTTCAAATGCATCAGTGCTCAAAGTTGCTATTCCTCTAGCCATGAAAAAATCACCAGTTCCACCAATTACTGAAATATCCCTAGTTTTGTTCATCAAAGGGTCATGACCAGCAAAATTCAAGCTTCCTTTATAATCAGTATTATTGAACACAAAAGAGAAACCAAGCCAAGAACTAAAAGTGTCCATTTGATCGTAAAAATACATGCCTTGTGCCCTTCCAACTGGGGTTGAGTGTAAATTGTTGTCGAGTGTAATTGGATCATCAAACACAATTAAGTCCCCAAAATTGTTAGGACTTGCCATTATGGTCCTGTTTCCCCATTCTGGCGCGCCAACTATGGCTGAAGTCGCGTTCTTATAATTTTCACCATTGTAAACAATATCGTGAAAGTAAAATATCATTTCTTTACAAGGATCGCGAGCACGACGAGTGTAGCTCTGTGCAGAAATGGAGAGAAGAAGAATGCAGACAAATGCAAATAATAATTTAGAGGCCATTGGTAGCTAGACAATAGCTCTTTGCTTTATGAGTCGTGGGAAGGACTGGTTAATCTTAGTCTCTTTATATAGAGTTCTAAGCTTATGTTTTTGATGAAATAAAACTTAAGTTTTTGTTTTCTTCACCAAATTAGAATTAAATGTACCATGCATTTGGAATTAGGATAGTGATGTTTCAACGTGATATTTCTTGGTTTAATATAATTAGCCGAGTATATTGATCAATTTTTTGACATTTAAGACTAGTTTCTATTTGTTGAACCTGCCTTAAGCGAACGGATAGGTAAAATCTTGTAATTACTAGTGGATCTAAACAATAGGCTTTAATCAAGAATAAGGATTAAATAAAGTCAAGAATCTTTGGTCACAACTCATTAAAGTAATTATTTGTCACAATAGGAGAGGAAAATTTTATAATATGTAGCGTACGTATTCACTCCAGTATCTCAAAATAATCGTGTTTTAACCTTTTTCTCGTTTTAGGGTAATTAGTAGGGGTGTACATAGGTTGGGTTAGTTCGAATTTTGCAATTACCAAACCAAACCAATTGTGTCGGGTTATTAAATCTAAACATCAAACCAAATCAATAAAATTCGGATTTTTCGATCTCGGATTTTCGGGTTATTCGGGTTTTTTTCCGGTAAAATCTTCGTAGCACAAAAGATATAACTTGTGCTAAAAAAAATTCTTTAATCCATGTAAGATACAACTATATAAGGTATTTTTCAAGAAGATAATATAAAATATGAGATGTGTCGTGGCATTATCCTAAAATATTCAACAATAAAGACAATAAAATTATGTAATATAAATATTGCTAATTAAAAAGTCATAATAAAAATAAACATAATCTGAAAGTACTAAGTCATGCCAAATAAGTAGACTAATAAGGGAGTATTAATTAATTACATGACAAAACGCTAAAGAAAAAATAAAATAGGTTATGCATTTTTATCTAAATCATTGCAAAACAAAAAATAGATATTCAATACATTGTCGTTCCTAGTATTGAATTGAATGTCTTTTGTTAGCGTTAGTATTGATTTGATTTTGATTTAAACTTTTGTTAGCATTATTTAAGTTACCTATATTAATGGCTATAAAACTTAGAGTAATTTTCACAAACCACTATTGTTTAGTGGTTATTAGCTAGCTATAGCTACCATTTACTAAATTACCTCATATAGCTATGTTTTCAATTGTTATAGAGTGTATTCGATGTATTTAAGCTACTGTATTCATGAATAGAGTAGCAAAACTCGGTGTGAAACAGGGGAGTCTAGCTAAGCAACAGTTGTATTCGATTGTATTTGCGAGCTGTATTTGTGAATACAGTAACGTAAACTGCGTAAAAAATGGTATTTTTAGCTGTTTAAAACGGTAAGTGAATCAATTAACGCGAGAGACTACTAATATAACTCAACTAACTCAATTATAACATGCAAAATCTGTATTTCACGTTAAAGAAAAGATTTTCCAGCCGAAAAAGACCACAAAACAGAGCAATCCCTAGATTCTCAATCCCTCCTTTTTCTGTTGCGATCTTCTGTAGATTTTCAAAACATGTACTCATTTTAGATGAATACATGTATTTGGAATACATAACTTTTTCATAAGTACAACAATGGAAGTCTTATAAATACATCTAAATATATCTCAATACAACTAAATACATCTAAAAACAAACAGTGTAAGTCACTGTAATAACTATTTATCAGTAAAATACAGATAAATACATGTATTTGAAATACATAACACATTCATAAGTACAACCGTGGAAGTCATCTAAATACATCCAAATATATCTAAATACATCTAAAAACAAACAGTGAAAGTGTTGATTCTTTCGGAAATTTCTCAAATTGGGCTTGTTTCAATGTGTCATTGCGTATTTTTGTTCTCTTTTCCGCTACTGTATTTGCTGGTGAACCTGCAAATACATGTTCCGCTTGCGTGATTTGCAAATTGAAAGATGGCCCTTCGAAATTTAGTGCTTTGGTCGGTATACCTCGGATAGCCCTCTTGTAAGGAGTTGAATCAGCCATTGAAGAAGAAAATTCGAGTTTTCTGTAAAAGGATAACAATGGTGATTGTTTTTACAAAAAAAAAAAGTACAAATAAACAGAATAATACATGTGCCAGCGAAAAACTAACAAGTTTAACACTTACCACAACTTTTTTGGGCAAACAATTTTGAAAATTAAGAGAGAGAATGGAGATGAATCAGTTGATAATGGAGGCTGTATTCATGGGGAAGATACTGGGTTGGGAGAGAGATAGTGGAGAGAGAACGTGGGTTTAACAAAATTGTATACAATACCGATATTATTGGGAGAGAGAGAAAAGAAACTATAAGAGAGAAAAATATTTCACATCGTATTTAAATGGCTTAACAGTAGGAAGTGACCATAAATAGATAATTCGCTATAAAACCTAAAAGGTAGTTATATAATATAATTTTATAACACGGTATTTATTTATAATAAATAAGGTATAAAGGTTTGCTATAGGAGGTAAAAATTCCTAAAAGTTATTGGAACATTCAAAAGTTCTAAGTCCAACCTTGAACTAATAATACCTTAAAAGATAAAATTATGAAAAAGTTTAAGAAATATTTATGAATTACATCACAATAAGTATATTTATATATTAAATATATCTAAAATTTCTATATATGTAATGTCGGGTTTGTTTGATTTCGGTTTGACTTTCTTTAGTTAAAACCAAACCAAACCAGTTATGGTCGGGTTTTTTTTTTCAACACCAAACCAAATCAAACCAAACCATAGTCGGGTTTTTTTTCTCGGTTTGATTCGGATTATCGGGTTGGTGCAATTTGTCGATTTTCTTTGTACGCCCCTAGTAATTAGTATGGAAAATTTACACTAGGAAGTTGATTAGCTATAAATTGGGTATGAAAATTGAAGCTCTACATGGACGTACATTATTTTGCGCTTGGTTATTATTATTATTATTTCTTGAATTTTTTTTGAAGGGGATAGTTGCTAGTACAAGATTTCAAATTCTAGACAAATTCTTCAAAAATGTTTTTTCAGCTAAGGAAAATGAAAAGTATTAGTACAACTAATACCAATAAATGTTTAAATTTAAGCTGAGTTCTTACATGTCTTTTGATCAGTAAAAAGCACAGAGTTTGTCATCATCAAAAAGGGGGAATTTGTTGGCCCAAGAACAGGTAAAGTTTTGAAGAATGACAAATGAACTCAGTCATGGACCAGGTCCATCATGTGAAGCACAGTGATGATCAATCTACACATGTGAGATGCACGTGAAGGAGATAATTCTCATTGATCAAGCAGCAATATCTCCTGAATCTGATCGAAAAGGTTGCTTATTGGATAAGGGGAGAAAGTCTCCTTATGTGAAGAGAACACAATTCGGATAAAAAATAGTGTTGGAGTTTGTGTTGTTCAAGGACTCAACTTCGATGGAAGATCAGCAATTGAGTCTCAATCAAACTCAAATTACTAACTCATTAAATAATAGTGATTGTTCTCTTTTACAGACATTGCACAAACGCAGAAGTTAAACTAAATTGAGAGCAAAAGAGCGAGGCAATTTTGTAAGCAATTTATGTGAGATTTGAGTGTGCATTCCTGAAGCTACTTGGACGAGATAGAAGAACCAATTCAATTGTGTCTTTCTTTTATTCTAGTTCAATTGTAGTATGTGATTTAAACTTGTACCTTTCAGCTTTTATAGAAGCAATTATATTAGGTACTTAGAGTATTCAAGTTATATGCTAACTTGAAGTTGTCGCAACAGTTAAGGCTGTGTGCTACAACGGGATTAGAGTTAATCCTTCCGTTTACAAGAGTTTTGTAAATGCTGTTTTGGCTCAGTGATTTTAGTGGAAGTTTGGGAAAATCCTACTTAGTAGTAGGTCGTGATTTTTTCACCTTTTGAGCCAGGTGTTTTCCACGTAAAAATCTCTGTGTTCTTTATTTTATGTACTTATTATTCCGCAAACAGTAGAGTTAATACCTAGAAGAACCAGGTTCTTCTAGAGCGCAAAATTGGGTACCACACAAATCACCCCCCCTCTTGTGTGGTATTGACGTATAAAACATCAGATGTGCACAATGCATTCGTTAATGGAGATCTTGATGAGGAGGTTTACATGACATTATCCCTGGGCTTTGGTAGTCAGGGGGAGTCCAAAGTGTGCAGACTACTCAAATCCCTTTATGGGTTGAAACAAGCCTCAATATAATGGAACCTTAAGCTCACACAAGCCCTCACCACTGCTGGTTTTCAACAAAGCAAGCATGAATATTCTCTATTCACTAGACTTGTCAACAATAAGTTTGTTTTAGTCCTTGTATATGTGGATGACATCTTGGTAACAGGAAATGATTTAGAGGAAATAAACCAGGCTAAAGCTTCACTTCAACAGAATTTCAAGCTAAAGGATCTAGGAGAACTAAGATACTTCCTAGGAATTGAGTTTGCTAGATCAAAGGAAGGGATACTTATGTCACAAAGGAAATAGGCACTTGAGATGATTTCAGAAATCGGTTTAGCAAGATCAAAACCAAAAGACACACCTATGGAACAAAATTTGAAGCTCACAAGTGTGGAGTTTGATGAATGCACTAACACTGGCAACCACGATGAAAAATTAGTAGACAGGGGGAGTTATCAGAGACTCATAGGGAAGCTACAATACCTCACAATCACCAGACCTGACATTTCATATGCAGTCCAGTGCCTTAGTCAGTTAATGCATGTACTAAAAAGATCACACTATGAAGTAGCACTATATGTAGTGAGGTATGTTAAGCAGCAGCCAGGTTTGGGATTACTTATGCCCAGTAAGAGTGAAGAGCAGATACATGCATTTTGTGACTCAATTGGGCCTCATGTCCTATGTCAAGAAAGTCAGTGACAGGGTACTATATAAGACTAGAAAATTCACTCATCTCTTGGAAGACAAAGAAGCAGAACACCATTTCAAGAAGCTCCGCAGAAGCAGGGTACAGGAGCATGGCAAGCACAATTGTTGAACT